ATGCATATTTTTTGCTTGCTTGCCCCCCCCCGTAAATTGTTTTGGCAGAATGCAATGATTGAGCTAAGTCTCTCCTGTTTCAACTGATTCTATCTACTCTCAGAATGAAAATCTTTGAACAGAAATTTCCCAAAGCAAAGCACGAGTTTACTTTGTGCCCTACACTGTACTGTATCCATGTGATTGAAGGGATATGTAGGTATTGTGTTAAGTACCCAAGTAGTGTAGGGATGGATTAAAATATATAAGATCTTAAGCAAATAGTGTGTGTGTGTGTGTGTGCACGTGTGTGTGTGTATCCTTTTTTATATATTGATTTTGGTATATCTGGAGATGATCCCCAGAAATAATGTCCTGTAGAAATTCAGAGGCCACTTAATTCAATTAAGTGTAGTTTTAAACCCAACTGTCAGACATCTGTAGTTTTCAGCAAAGTCAGAATAAACTTGATGAACACTAGTCAGGAGAACTGTGCAAGTCTGGCTCCCAGCTCCTTTTTATTCCTGAGGAAGCAAAGAAATCTGACTCTTTCTTTGGTCTAAATCCTTTAAAAATAGGTTGGGTGCTTTGTACTATTTAGGGTAGCTAGGAGTTGCAAGAGGCCCTCTGTCTTGGGTATAAGCTAGGAATCTTGGAGTTTATGTAGTTATGTGTAATTTGGCAAATAAGCTGGATATATCAGGAAGTGCTGTCTTATTAAGGCCGAATCAGCTTATGAGCTAAGCCAGGTAGGGAGTGCTTAGTAGACAGAGCAAAGGCTCTGGTGTGCTGAGACTCAGTGAAGTCAAGTGTTATCAAGCACACCTGAGTGTAGTCAGACCACAAAGTATGCCAAAGAGGTTGAATGACCCTACCATAGACTTCAGCAACAGCCTTGCGCCCTGCCTTTCTCATGATGGGTGCCGTTCTCATAAGCACCTGCTCCTGTATCTGATGTGGGTAACAAAAGGTGTGGGTCCTTTGCTTTCCCTGCACACTGCCTCTGATGGGATTACTACTGGCTCCCTTGAAAACAAAGAAGGAATGAGTGGATGAGCAAAGGATTATTAAAGGATAATTGCAGTGAGGCTAGTTCTGAGAACAGATCAGATACTTGTCTTTCAATGATGCTGCACATGATGATGGGTGCTGTGCCTCTGACCTCTGAAGTCAAGCTTTGTCTCCAGCTGATTGGTAGCCCCTCTGTGAGAACAAAACAGTTGATTTTTTTTTGGTCACCTCCTTTCTGCGTAGCGACATGGCTCATCCATTACACCTCATCAGTACACCTCATCAACTGTTGGCAGTGAGTGGTATTATGAGATGCGTGTGATATAGTGATAGGATGAAGGCTGGATGGGGCCAGAAGGCAGCTTGATTAAGCCTGTCTTAGGGCATCTTAGTGTGATGGAAAGATCAAAGGGAAGGGACACACACACACACACACACACACACACGGGGGTTGAGGGAGGAAAAGGGAGAGAGGGGGGCGGAGCCCGATTTCTACCCAGGAATTGTACTAGAAAATAAGACAGGTAAATTCCCGTGTGTGTGTGTGTGTGTGTGTGTGTGTGTGTGTGTGTGTGTGTAAAATGAACACTTATCTATCTTTTTAAAGTAATGCTAGTTTTTACTTTGAACATTTCAATGTTTCAAGATGATTCTAAAGTATTTTGTGTTGGAAATAAGAGCTGAAATCAAGACTACTATTTTCATTGGCTCTGTGTCATGTACCAAGGCTCCCTTTAAATTCAAATGCTAAAAATGTAAGAAATAAGGTGAATTTTAAAAAGCCAATATAACAGTCTCCTTCAGTTTCCAGAATATGTTATGAACACCATGTATATATATAATTGGAGGCAGTGTGCATGTGGGTGGGAAGACACATATTCCCTCCAGTCTAGTTCACAGGATGAGCCACAGGGTGACAAGGTCCTCCTTGACCAGAGGAGGCTCAGTGTGCCTGCAGTGACTGAGGTGTGTCTGAGATCTTTCAAGAAGTCAGCCACCCAAGTAAAACTCCTAAAGCACACTTGTTCGATAAGTTTTAGGAGTTCCCTGCTGCTCACTGAACAAGTTACATATTCATGGATTTATTAATGTATTCAGTGACATTTATGTGCTATTTGTCAGTCTCTAAGTTTGGGGTGAATCAGTGGAATGAACAGGTGAAAAAAATCCCTGCTCTGGGGCACCAACAGTTCAGGGAAGTGTGAAACGCAATAAGAGGGGACTGTGAACTGAATTTTAATAGCAATCACTGCTGTGGTGTTCAGTAGAAGTGAGGTGGGAGGTCAGAAGTATAAGCTGAGTTAGCCAGTGTGGTGGGGGGTGGATCATGCTAGGAAGATAATGTTAGCATAAACTTGGAAGGGAGCAGAAATGTGATAGAAAGTATATTCCTGGCCAGAGGCCCAACTAGAAGAAAAGCCATTTGATGAGCATGGCCTGGTATGTATAGAGTCAGAAAAGAAGAGTGCACTAAGGCATAATGGGAGGAGGGGAGATCACAGAGCTTAGCACAGGCTGTATAGCTGCAGATGATATAGGTGGAACGGAACTGTAGACCAGATTGAGCAGTTGATGTTGTTACCTGACAACTAGAAGAATAGAATTATAACCAGAGTCCTCACCCAGGGGTTCCTGAGTTCAGTCCAGGTACGAAAGTCCGGGAAGGATTTAGTCAAAACGGGTATTCAGTGAAAATGGACTATTAACATTTTATTACATTTACATCTTTGAGGTACTGACATGAGTTTCAGGATGAAGTAGAAGAAGAACTGGGGCAGCTATTAAGAGATACACATGATTAGGCATTGTTGGCTAAAGTTTGATCTGGCTGATCGTTATTTAAGTTCTAGTTGAGCAAGCTGCTCCAATGAAGCCCTTATTGCTAAGGGAACAAACCAATTCCTGTGAGATGAGTGTCCTTGCTGGGTGGTGATCTCACCCAGCATCAACAAAGTTTTGCTTGCTGTCTGTGGACCTTTGCTGCTCTTGAATTTTAGATAGATTGCTGCTTTAGGACAGACACTGGAGACTCCAGGGTGCTTTTAGGGGTCTGGAATGGGGTGTAATAAAAAGTACTTGTAAGATGCTCTGGTTACTCTTGTTTTTGTGCTTTCAGCCCTGAAACTGGATAAGAGAGATTGCATATTATCAGTTCTTAGACAAATATTCAGAGTGCTAAATCTTCCTACATGAAGAGTTAAGCAGGTGTCTGACCACAGAGTTACTGAGACAGATGTAAACTGAAGGGAGAGATGCTCCAACTCACCTGAGGGGGAACATTAGGAATCAGTTCAGTGGTTTTTTTTTTTCTTTTTTTTTTTTTTGACAAATTGTTTCTAAGTGCCTGTAAAAGAATTAGAACCTTGGTTCCTAGCCCTCAGGAGAGTTGTTATAAATAGGAAGAGAGAGTGATCAATAGATTCAGAGGAATTAAGGCAGAAGATGATCCATTTTATTTTGCTTTGTTTTTCTTTTAAAAGCCATATGGCAATAAAAACAATCTGATAAGAGGGAGCATTGGTAATGTACTACAAGGAAGGTTGGTTATTGTGTCTGAATAACTGAGGGAGAAGAGATTTCAAGAATTGGAGGACTCAGGTACAGGCAGAAAGGAGGCAGTCTGTCCCTGACCAGACAGCCCATTTGACCTTCCTCAGCTGAGAATCTCCAGTCTTCATTGAACACCTCCTCTGTCTGTCCCTGTTCCTCTCTTCATGTCATTTCGGCCATCAGTCCATGGAGTCCATATTTTTGAGAGGAGATAGGCTAGGAAGTGTGATTTGAAACTGCAGAGATGGAAAACATGGGTGGGGTTGTATGAAAGTGAGACATATGCCCTTAGCACAAGGATAGTTTAAAACTGGACATAAAATACTTGTTAAGGGCTGTTTCATAATTGAAACTATAGTGTGTCTTATAAAAAACAAACAAATGACAGGATTTCAAGTATTGATGTCTGGCTTTGAAGAGTAAGACATTGTGCCTATTTGCAGAAAATGCTACAGAATTTCTTTATATAGAGAGAATATTTGTTAATTCAGTCCTTTCTTGTTAATTGATTCCTTCAATGCATAGTGTCCTCGGGTGGGGCCCAATACAAGGTGACTGTGAGAGTTTGCCCTTTTCAGGTCTGGCTGGGCTGTGGCTACTAGGTGTTGATGCATGTGCTCTTTCAGATGTCTTGGGAAGAGTGGAGAGGCAATACAGATGAGTTTAAAATATCTTAGGATTCTACCTCATTGGTCCACACAGACCCCAAGCAGGCCTTTCACTTGGTCTGCTTCCATGGTTTTTCTTGTGTTTGCTGCAAGTCATTTCCACAGACACTGCTCTGCTCTGCTTTCTGCTTACCTTGTTCTCAACAAGAATCTACATTCCTGACATGGAGAAGTCAGAGATGGTGGAAGAACCCTTCCCTGCTCTGGTCCTGTCCTGTCCCACTGCAAGGCTCTGAATACAGGTTGATGGTAATAGCTGTCATAGAAGTATAAGAAATAAACTTTCTGCTCTGTAACTGTCACATGCTCATGCCCCAAACATCTTGGAGAAGAATGAATAGGATGCATGTGTTTTGTTGAACTCCTAGGAATCTTCAGTTTCTCTATATTGTTCCCCTCAAAAGCAACCATAGTAATTCTTCCCTAAAATTGGTATTTCCCTTTATGGCATGCTA